GTACTATTGTTGATGCTGACAACACTAGCCCTCTGACCAACTGATGAAGGACTGGTTGGTGAATTCACAAGATGGGTTATCTGTAACATATAAGACTTATGATAGAGTTACAAGATTGTAAATGTCTTCTACCATTTATCTATTTGTATAATATATGAATTCACAGTAAATAAAGACAATAAATGGGAAAAAAAATGAGAATTTCTTTAACTTTTTACTTACACTGCAATTGAGAGTACTGTATCCTGAGGAAGATAAAAATGTTTCAAAACTAATATTTTTGTAAGTAGTGTTTGCACTTGAAGCATTGCCAGATACTTGTAAAACTTGTCCCAGCAGCAAAAGTAAGGCCAACCAATGTCTGTAATATAGGGACCTCATGGCTGCAAAATAAAAGAAAATCAATTTGTACTACAAACAAACCATATTTTATGTCAAAATAAAATAAATTTTGTTTATGTACTTTGTGAAATTTAATAACATTTTCCAGCACATAATAAAATATACATGGTGGCTTATGTATCTGATGGAGAAGGACATTCCAAAAAAACCACCAATCCACTGGAAGTTACCCACATTCTCACATACCAAAATTAGTTGAACTAAGGCTTGAACTCAGGACAACAGAGGTGAGAGGTATAAGTGATTTGCAAAGGTAAATACCTAGGATCACTTAGCTACTATTATTCATAAAATATTTTCAATCATGCTGTGTTACATCAATAAATTTACAGTAAACTTGTTTGAATAGACGCTATCTGCTTATAATGGACAATATGTATGAAAAGAGAAGCCATAACAATCACCTTTTACTTGCATACATTATACATGTACTTTAAAACAGAATTCAACCAATGGTGTCCATGAAACTATTGTACTGAGGATTTTTATTATGGAATCCATGACTATACTCATCTTATATCATGTACTTTGTTATACTGATATGCTTTATAATAGAATCAATTACTACAACCATATTGTATCAAAATGGTGCTATAATGAGGTGCTTTATAATTGGATCCATTACCATACCTATATTATATTGGGACCACATTATATTGAGTTGTTTTATAGTTTGATTGATGACTACCGGTGATATTAGGGATGGTGTTATAATTATGTAACTCATAATGGGATCCATGACCATACCTGTGTTATATCAGGGATTGTGTTATAGTGAGGTGCTTCATAATGAGTAACTATGTACTTAAAGATTTCATCTCAATTTAAAGACAACCTATTTATAAAAACAACATTACACATTTGAGTATATTTTATAAATGGTTAGTAATTACTGATATGTATTCATAAAAATGGACCCATTTTATTTTTCTAAATTTATGTTCATTGTAACTTACACAAGTTTCACACACCTTCCATAAAGTAACAAACTTTATTAATGCACTAGTGCAGTTCTATAAAATATAGGCTCTACCATACATGTAAATCTTCCAGACTGTGCTGAGCAATGAGATGGTGCTTTATTGAGACTAAAATATTGTTTTGGTTTGGGTCTAGGTGTGGGTGCTTATGTAGACAAAGGCTATGAGGCTGTATTATGGTATCCAAAAAGTTTTTCTCAGCTTTCAATAACTTGAATTTTCAAACAAAATTCTGTTCACAAGGATCATTATTGACAAGTATGAAGAAAGAATGTGGTCATGGCATTACTGTCTCATAACTTAGGCAAGGAAAAATATAAGTGATTTCTGGTTTTGGGGGTTTGATGCCATTTTTAGCACATGACTGGCCATACATAGTGGCCAGTATATTTGGTTGAGGATGAGTCCAGGAAAACCCCAGGAAGAACAACCTGACCCATGAGAAACATTAAGCTAACTTTTTCACATATCCATACTGGTCAAACCAAGACTCAAACCCAGAACCACTCAAAATACAAAATGGAGTGGTACTTATTCATTATATGAATTGTAATAATTAAAAAATGATTTAGCAAATACTTGTGTTTTTTCTAGAGAGAATTTAATTTGTGACAACTACTAGACAATAAATATTCCTACCCATAATTTACTAAATGTTCATTCACAATTCTTAACCACTACTAGAAGAAAAAAAACGTCCATTTTCTGAACAGGCATTTAAATATATTTTATAATCAGTTTCTTAGATGATATAAAAATCAATTTAATAACAAATTTACATAATGAAATTGTGATTGTTCTTACATACATCTGTCTCATTAAATTCAAACAATTTCATAATCTTTTGCTGTTACATTTATTCTATTCCGAAATAAGGGCAAATTCTAAATCCTGAAAGTTCCTTGCTGATTTTTATGTCATCTGATATGTTTGTACAAATCGTCTCAGAACTGTTTGATAAGACTCCTAATGGAATGAATCTTGAAATCTTGTCTGAATATACTCTTTAAGGGGCATGCCAATGAGCAGACAACAAAATATCTCAGGGTTGAATTGTCCAGAGACCTCTCTTGGAAAAGGCACATAGACAAGATAGTGAAAAAAGAGAACTGTAACCTTGGTTTCCTGCACTGCAACCTCCAAATCAACAATGCAGTAAAAAGTGCAGCATATTTCACTCTGGTTTTACCAGGTCTTGAGTATTGCTCAACTGTGTGGAACCCACAAGATAAAGATCTAATAACTAAGATAGAGATGGTTCAAAGGAGAGCTGATAGACTGACCACAAATAAATATTGTTATACTAGCAGTGTCAGTGCAATGTTGAACCATCTCCAGTGGGAATCACTCAAATCCAGGTGAACCAAGGCCCAGCTGACCATGTTGTACAAGTTAGCAACAACCTAGGGGACATAGCAGAAGACAAATACCTGACGCTGGTATATAATCAAACTAAGGCAAACCACAAGAAAAAGTTCAGCTTTTTCCCATGTACAATAGGGACTTGTAACAAATTACCATCAATAATTGCAGAAACTCCTGACTTTGTATCTCACAAGCAGGAGCCTTCCAAAATCACATTCTAATAATTCCAATGTTTATGAATTGACTGCGTTTTCTAAAGTAAGACCTAATGATTCTCGGGCTATTCTGGTTGAGGTCCGAGTATGAAGTGACGAAAACGTATACTTACAGTAGTTTACTTATTTCTGTCTTTACTATCATTACTCTTCTGACTGTCCTATCACTTTATCTTTAACCACGCACCACCCGTTGTTTAATAGTCAAGTGTGACTGCGTCAACGTATTGATAGACATTAGGCATTGATATTTCTGGGATATAGTGGCCTATTTATTTTTCTTTATTTGTAGATTGTGTTATGTATGATAAGAAATTTAAAATAAAAGCATTATCATTTAACTTCATTTCTCAGTTTTGGCCTGAATATGCGAAATCATTAAGAAAAATGCCGGTTAAGTTTTGCAGTTCCAAAATAGAACAACCATCTTTTCAAATATATTGGGGTGCTTCTGTCACATTTCAAACCTCACCTGATCCAGCTATCTAGTAAAACTCTTGTGAAGTCTATATTTTATATAGTGTTTAACCATATGCCAAAAAGTAATGAGGTTTAAATAAATCAGACTAGGAATTTATGTTGTAACCAATCATAGGAAGTAAACAAATAAATCCATTCGGAATACTTCCGCTAGTAATTGTTTGTACGGTTACCAATAACATCAAGGGGCGAGCATTTCATAAGCTACGATTGTTTTCTATTTCTTCGTAATTTGCATTGTTAAGGAAAATAAATGTCCCATGTTTTTTTTCACTGGCTATTCTGACTAAAAAGACTAGGTACTATTGAAATGATTGTATATTACCATTAATTTGGTGTATGACGGACATGGCCGAATCAGGTCAATTATTGGGGGGAGGTTACCAAGATTTCAAAAGTGTCCAAATGGAAAGTCTATATGCATATTTATTCAGTGTACATAATACCCAATAAACGTACACAAAATGAAACAATGGTCAAATTTCAAGTGACTGAACATCTGTATGTGTGTCCATTTTTTTTAATTTTTTTAATTTTTTTTTGTTGTTGTTTTGCTTGTTTTGTGGGAGTTTTGTTTAGGGGAAAAGCGGACACCTTGCTCACCACTCATCAGATCCGGCCCTGATTGGGTGTAAATTGGGTTTAAGAGTATACAGTTTGGCCTTTCTTCAGATTTGCATCTATAATGAAACTGCTAGTTCCGTTTGGTAACAAATCGCCTCCGAAATTGACAACAGAAGCGTTCCACTAAGCACGGGCATTTCGCTTACTTAAACACGTTGTCACATTTTTGCGAAGATTTGTGCTTATTTTAAATTACAATCAAGAGATATATCAGGCTGATTTAGGTAAGTCAGAAAATAAACAATGTAATGTAGCCACGTGTTTAGAACTATAGAACAAGACATAATTGGGTAACATATGCGCATTTACTCATTTTAAATTAAATATAAATTGTTCTTTTAAAATTTAACGGTATTTTTAAAACCAAAATCTATTTAATCCTGATTATTGAATGCTCAAAATTTAACTGTCACCAAGAAACTTCCATACGAAAATTATCTATAGTATCGATATGGACTTTTTGGTGGCCATGTACTAAACTTGGGTCAAAATAAAAGCGCGTCGAGTGGAATCGTCATTTTTTAGTGTAGTGCAAATTTGTTTATCAATATGTGTAGCTTTCATTGTGATATCATGGCGAGCAGTATTCAATCTGGATTGTACTGGATCACACCTGTAGGTTCATTTCGTCCAAAAATGTCTTGATTTTGCCGTATAATTAAAAAAAAAAAGTTCCATCATTAGTAAGTTCTCGATCAATGCTTATTTCGTAATTAGCCAAATTGATTCGAAATATGACTAAGGTCACAATTATTATTTTCGGTTTAGTACAAATGTAGTCCCAGTCTGTTTCACGTAAATTGCCAAGCAATATTCCGATTATTCTTTCCGACGATAGCCGAGTAACTTACCGATAATAGATAATATCCCGATTATTCTTTCCGACGATAGCCGAGTAACTTCGGTAAATTGTAGGCATCCCTCGCCCCACCAGGAAAAAAAAATGGCCTAAGTGGTTAGAGCATCCGCCTCGAATGCGGGAGATCGCGGGTTCGAAACCAGGTCGAGTCATACAAGACTCATAAAAATAGTACTAGCAGCTACCTCTAAGTTGTAGACTGGTCCCTTGTCAAACCATTTCCAAATGTTTGACACGTGTGAAATCGGAACATCACACATCGGCAAAAGCTAAAAATATTCCGATGTGGTTTTGCGAACAAAACTAGTTCAGAATATATTTCTCAGTGGCGGTGAATCACATCCGATGTTCCTTTTCGTAAACGATCTGAACATTATTTCTGGCTCCTCCCCTGAACTCTGCAATTACGATATTTTCTTTAAACCATTAGGGTAAAGTTTGGTATCTGGGGTATTATTAGTAAACCATACCTGATGCAAAGATTTTCTTGTTTATAATCTGAAAAACTAAATGCAGCTATTCTTTCCCGTTACCATAACAACTATAGTTCGTTCCACATAAGCACCGCGAACTTTCCATAACTGTAATGTAATTCAGTAAATTTTCCTGACTTGCCTAGTCCTTTCGGTTGTCTGTTTGACTTTTTTTTTGGCCCACCACCTTCCATATTTGCCACTTTTTTTTCAAAATTATGCCTAGTTGCTGATTTTTTTTGTGTGTTTGTGAGGCGGTCCCGATTCTTACGCCAAATATGTGGTAGTCTCATGTCCGATTTGAATGTTTCTGATTTATGAATTTTGCTACTAGGAAGCTTGTATGTAATGTGCGTACTGTTTTGTGTTCCGAATAGGTGTTGGTACTTTGTATGTAATGTGCGTACTGTTTTGTGTTCTGAATAGGTGTTTGTACTTTGTAGGTAATGTGCGTACTGTATTGTTTTCCGAATAGGTGTTTGTACTTTGTATGTAATATGCGTACTGTTTTATGTACCAAAGAGGTTGGCTAAAAGCAGCCAATTGATGTTAAAGATTTTAATTTGGGTTTCGCGATGCTGTCTCGTTAGTTCAATCAGTAGCTTGTCAATCTTATATTTTTTTTTTTGTCAAGTCCACCCAAGTTTAGTCTGAAGAAGGGATTCGTTGGTCAGACTGAAGGCCCTAAGTATAAATTATAGGAGAATTATGTTTATTTATGTGATGATAGATGTGTATACTATATGTGGAAGCAGGTTGTGTGTGTTTGTGTGTGTGTGTGTGTGTGTGTGTGTTACAGTATATATGCTATAAATTTGTTCGTCTTCTCTTGTCAGTATTATACTATACATGTGTTGGCATATTATGCTCTTAATAATATACCTTTTTACTGGGGAGGGGAAACTTTCTTTTCACTTTTTATAGACCTAAAAAGGAGTTTTTATTCTTCTTTTTTCCTGGTAATTTCCTATCTGCATCTTCTTGGATTCATCTTTTTCTTCCCGTTCTTCTTCCTTTCGGACCCTTCTTCGTCGTATCATTTCTCGCCGATGAAGATAGTTGTTTCTCGCTCTGGTGTTATCATCTGAATCGTCTCTTCTGTTTTTGATTTTCTCCGTCCCCTCGATCGTTTTTATATTTTCATTCCTATGTCTTTGTCGTATGTCTTTCTGTTCCTGTTTCGTCTCTTACTGTGTCCTTCTTGTATAATCTCCTTCTCCTGCTGCAGATTTTCTTTCTCTTTTAAGAATTTTTTTTGTTTACTCCTCAGATTTCCAGCAACAATCACGTTTCCTCCTCTTATTTCATTATTATTTATTTATAAGGACTCTAAAGGTCACTTAAGTTGTTTGTTTATCTGCCAAACTCCCACCGTATTAGTGGTGTAATTTGTATCTTCCCTATTTATTGTTTTTCTTCTAATTGTATTTGTTCTTATTTTTTCTTTAATCGTAGTCTTGTTCGCTGCTGATACAGTTTGTCTCTTCGACATGGCGAACAACATTTCTCGAGTTCAGTATTTTCTGGTCTTGGTTATTTTATTTCGCACTTTTACTTCAGTTATCTCTTGCTTATGTTAATTTATTCATTTTGGGAACCGTCTAACCGTAGGCCGTCCATTTAGTTGACTCTGATCGTCTCCTCGACATGGTCAACTACATGCATGCAGATGCCTCATATTTTTCACTGACCTTTATGTTTTTACTTCGATGTACCAGAGTTTCCTTTACTGTTTTAGCATTTACTTTCTTAGGTGGTTATTTAGTAGTGTACCAGTTTGTTTCTTTTGTTGTTAGGGTATTTGTTTGTTAGGCTTTTTAAGTGGGTGTACCTAACTTTATCTTGTTTAGAGCTGGTTATGCTTTTTCTGTTTGGGAGTGGAATTTTTGTTAGTCAGTGAGGACGGGGCTGGACAGATCCACGTGAACTATATCCCCTAGTAGAGCTGGTTTAGTCAATCCCTTTCATCAGTGATCATGATGCTTCCTCTCCCCAATTCCACTTTTGCTGCTATCTTATATTTTGCCTCTTCTTCTGATTTTTGTAATGAATGCCAAGATATTGTTATATATAGTTTCCAAATTTTGATATTGGCCCCAGGAGTTCAGGGTATATGAGCTCCATGAACCATATTATTTCTTTAACTTCTTTCTTGGTCATATTTGGACATATATTATGAATTTTAGCACTGCGAGTAGCACGATAAATTCCATGGTATGCATGGCGCGCTTGTCTGGTAGCTTCCTTTCAAACGACATGTATATTTGTGTCATGACCATTCCTACTGCTGTGTTTTTAGGGTTTTTAGTTTTGGATCATCTGCATTTGTCTGGATGCATGTACTGTACTTGTTTTCAATGCTCTGGGCCTATTCGATCTTCTTTTTCCTTTCCCGACTTATTTGAAGCTAAACATCACTATTGATGTGGTTTTAGGCCATGGTGGTTCTTTATATATATATATATATATATATATATATATATATATATATATATATATATATATATATATATATATATATATATATAGAGAGAGAGAGAGAGAGAGAGAGAGAGAGAGAGAGAGAGAGAGAGAGAGAGAGAGCTAACAACATATATAAACTCAACAATTACATTACATTTGTGAAAGGCGGCTTCTAAGGTAAGTCGGTTTTTATGTCACTCAAGCCATTGAATTGAACCAAGCTATTCAATTTGTAACTAATTCCAATTTGTAAGGACCAACATAGTCCTATATACTTTTCATTTATCTACCTCAATTTGATATGAACCAACATAGTCCTATATACTTTTTAATTTCTCTACCCAAATTTTATATCCAAATATATATGATGTTAATCTGAGAGGTAACACACCAAAAAAATTTGAGACCTACATATCTACAGCTGTAGAGGTATGTAATTTATTCGTTTATATGCATGATATATCTATTGGATTATCTTGTTTGATTCCGTATTATTGTCGCTGCTGTAAATGCTAATGTTATATTCTTATGTGATTTAGCAAGAACTCTACAATATTGCATTGTAGCAAACGACCGTTTGGTGCATTATGAATCTTGTAATATACCAATTTACTTCTGAACCTGTTTATTGTTTGTCGCTTTATAATGCAAGACTGATAGTGTATATAACTTACCGTATATACGGTCGTTGCGTACTACCGTATATATCAGTATCATGTGTAGTACACGGTATTGGATATATTTTCAGCTTTGTTGGTGTTGCAGTGCTGTGTTGGTGCTGTGCTGTGTTGTGCTGTAGAGTGTGCAGTGCTGTGCTGTAGAGCTCTGCTGTTGAGTGTGTATGCTGCGTTTGCAGTGCTGAGCTGTGCTGTGTGTAGAGCTGCGTGTGCTGTGCTGAGCTGTGATGTGCGTATGTTTTCGAGTGCTTGGTATATTCCAACGTTGCTAGTCGGGTTGAAGGTAATCGGGCGTTGTAGACCAAATTGTCTAACCCAGGTATCAATGGTGGTTGGTGACTACAAATAATCTTTACTTGTTTGGCCAGTGGAACTGGTAGCAAAGAGTTAAGGGAGTAAAGACATTGCTCCAGATACATAATATTTTAGCCGTGGGCTAATGTAGGTTATTTTAATACCCAGTGTTTTGCTATTGTGAGTAAAACTATCGATTCGTTATTTTGAACAAAATATAATTGGTTTTGCCATTGTGAGTAAAACTATCAATTCGTCCTTTTAACCAAAATGTCAAGATCATCTTTCTGTTTTGTGATATACCATAAAACGTTCTATCTTTATTAAATGTCTTGGTATCGTATTTGTTGCATTAGTAAGATCGTGCTAATTATGTTAATCCCATATTGGGACCCATGCACGCACGTATCTATCATACTTCATTTGATATTTTCATATAACATTAAATATTGTATTACATTCCCATCAATGGTGCTTTGTTGTAAATCCGAAAATCCCAAACTCTGTTATCTTGTTACACGTATTACCAAGAAAACTCCCATTTGATTCAAAACGCCTAAAAGTTGAGTGTTTTGAGATATCTGGCGGTCGTCAGGTTAGAAATTATAAATTAATGACTAAAATTTTTTGAGTCTTCTATATCCTTTATGCCGTTTGTTTTTTTTTTTGTGGTTTTTTTTTAAGCCTAGGTGGTACAAACAAACGGATAGTGTGCAAATGCTACCAAAATGAATACCTACCGACCTACCTACAATCGCCGGTCAATGTGTTGGCGTGCACTTTTGATATTAAATATACCCACTTGTACTCGCCAGATCCATCAACGATACAAGCTTAAGTGATCCTGTGTCCCTTAGACGTGATACAAATGCTTTCAGTTCTCAAGGTTCTCGATGATCAGTTTTGGCAGTTGACATGGTAAGTATATTATTTGTAAAAAAAAAAAAAAAACATGTTTCAAACTGGCTTATATTGAAATCGGATGTAAAATCATGTAATTTAATTAAATATTGGAAATATCAACTAATATTTAAAATACGTGAAATGACATTTCAAGTTAAAAATCTCAATCTCTGGGCAGGAAATGTGCTAACATGTCCTTTGGTGGCGCTCTACAGTTTCGTATTTAGCATAGGGTTAAAATTTTAAAGAAAAAGAGTTTTCCCGGGTTTCCTCACTAGTTATACTGGTGTTTTAAAAGAGACTTTGTATATCTTAGGTATTGTTCAAAGAACCTTTAATTCC